AATCCACTGATCAGGCGAGTCAAAATCTTCGGATGAGAAATGACAGGTCTATTCTAGGAGGAAGAAGAAGACTGAAGGCCGACTCGAGCTTGGAAACTTATTGGATGATATTTTGGTCACTACTGGCAATGACACTCATCATACTAATTTATTAACTGGCTCTTTTCCTAGAACTAGGGAAACATGCAAAGCAAAATTGGGTCGCTCTCTGGCTATCTAATACTACGTTTTTTGGCATTTTTTGTTTTTTTTTTATTTAGGTCTCTTGTAATTTTCTGTATTTTCACTTTTCTTGGAACCATTTGTATGTGGTGGTTATCGTGGGGGAAAGGTGTCATGCTTGGGCCCTTCCACACGATCTATATGTATGCTTAGTTTATTTGATCGAGCCTCATCCTCAAGTATTGTGTTTATCCTTCGGGATAGATACAGGGTTTGAGGTATAGTGCTCTTTCATTTATACTATGAAAAATATGAGGTCAGTTTGATTTCATACTTTTCTAAACTTATATGTATGTATATATATATATATATATACATACATATAAGTTTATTATGTAAGTGTTAATAGTAAGTATATTTGAAATCATGAAGCATATGAAGAAAAGGAGATTCAGATACGGGATTGAGTAGATCACTTCGAAAAATATCTATTCTTGTTTACATGTTTTATTCTCTATTCTAACAAACATTCTTATTTATTTTAAGAAATAATAAAGTGTTTCTTTTTCAAAAAAAAAATTATTGCTAAACCACTCCCTTTATAAATAGGGCTTGTCGTCTCAAAAACAAAGTCAAAGAGATTGCCAACACGATGGATTCCTCAGGCAACAATAATTTCAAAACAAACAAAAACCAAACTATTTCTATTAATTTATCAAAAGTTGCAACAATGGAAGCAGGGATTTCAATGGCTGAGATAGAGGAGTTAATATGATGCCTCTAGCATGTGATTGATGACAACAAATGCAATGGACGATGAATTAGTAATGCCAAAAGGCAACAAAAAAATCAATTGGCTGTCTGGTTCATCCATTCTTTATTGCACCGAAAAAGAACATCATTCTCTTCAAGGGGAGATCATTTTGAAAGGCTACTGCATTACAACGAAATTCAAAACTGCTTCTACAATGTTCCTCCAATGAAGGACATTAGGATTGTTGTCAACAACATTATTATTTTTATAACATCTTTAAAAAGTAAAGAATGTGTCAATCATACTTTTATTTTATATCAAAGTAAAAAAAACAAAACAAAACAAAAACATATTAAGAGAGTGTTTGGCTGCAGGAAGGATTAACATAAGTAGGATTTAGTAAATCCGATTTATTAAATCCACCCCTTTGCTGAATTTATTAAATCTGGATTTAACATAAATCAAAGGCAAAATTTGGACCTTAAATCTAAAATTTTAAAAATCCGTGTAACTTGTGCTTTTTTTTCTTGGTTGTATTTAGTAAATTTGACCGTAAATCATGTTAAAAGGACGCTACCAAACACCCCCTAAAAGTGATTCCAAATAAACCCAAAATTTGTTAGACCTTATTTTGTAAATCAAGCAAGCTTGATAAAAGTGTGTTTTTATTCACAAAAGAAGCATCAAACTAATCAATTATTCAAGCACGTTTTATTTAACTATATTATTTTCTGGTTATTTTATTTTGCAGTTTCAATTAATTTTGAAAATGTCTGTGATGATGGCCTTACAGACGGGATGTGCTTCCAGCTTCCTGATGTTAAGCTATATGGTTTTTGTGGGATCAAACTATGTTGTTTCAGGATAATTACAAGCCACACATTAGTCTATGGATAATTCAAAGTTACACATGGATCCTTACCTATTACTGGAATTCATATAGGATTGTCATTGGCATAATCAATGATTTTGTTGTTTGGATTGTTTTATTCTTGTGAATAATTCAATCCTTAAACGCTCTCCATATGTGCTATTGTGATTTCGCTTTTGCTCCTTATCTAGGGCTTGTTGTCACTGCTCCTCACCTGTTCTTGAAATATGCTTTTAGCTTGCACAATGGTTGTAATGAGTTGCAGCAGTACAAAGATCTTTTTTCTCATCACAAATAGAAGTTTTTGGGTAAGCTCAAAGTTCAATTTTCGGCAAATCTACAAGTAAAAATGCTTGATCTTACCTAGGGATAAAATATCTATAAATTAATATGTCAAGTCGCATAATTAAGAATTTTGCATCAATAAATTTCATGTTTCAAATTTAATCTTATGTGTGCAAGTTGGATTCATGAGTCCTTCAAAAAAGAAACAAGTGTGACAATCTCTGGAGGAATTCATACCCCCATAACTACTTGAGGATTAAATTTCATTTAAATTATTGAACTCTTTCCTTTACCAAACTTCATTTTAATATTCTGCCATCAGCTGGCTAGAATTATTGATTTTATTCAAATTCGATACAAGTAAAATTTTAAATGTGGGGAATAAATTGTAATTGTTTGTAAATTTTACATAATGCAAAATTTTGTTGATTTCATATAATTTATTCGATCATTACATTATTACTTGCATTCTAATTCTTGAATTTTCTAGTTTTCGGCTAAAAAAAAACTGCTAATTTAGTAATTTTGTATCTCTGAATTCTAATTTCCTTTGTGTGACATATATTGGTTACATTATAGTTTCGCTAGAAGATCTAAATCCCTAAACATCTTGAATCACTACCTTCCAACTACAATCAATAAATAGGACATGAAAATGGCAGGTTGAACACTGTTCATGAATAGGAAACTATTTGTTATCATTTTCTTCAACTAAATATAGGTCTCCAGAAACGGATCCACGTATAACTCAGAGGGGGCAATTGCCCCTCCTAAATTTAGGTATTCTATTCATTAAGATGAATAAATCTATCATTTGCCCCTCATAAAAACAACAATATGCCCAGCTTTTATCATTTGCCCCTCCCAAAAACTAGAATGTGGCCTTTATTGCCCCAGTACCCATTCTCTAGGCACGTTAAATTATTCTTAATTAAATTTTATTTTATTTTATCAGATTTATCCTAATTCAACATGAATCAAGCAGCAATAATTTGATAGAAGATAAATAATTTATTATCAAATTTATTTTATAATATTTATTTAATACTTCAAACATTCCACTCCAACCTTCAAACCAAATGTCGCTTAAACCTACCAGAAAGATTGGTTTTGCTTCTTCATTTAAAGAACATAAATATTTATTTCCTTTGCAATGTGAGACAAAAGCGCCTTCCACCTTCCACGTGAAAACGTGAAAGTTCTTTACCTAGTGGAATTAACATACATACCACCCAATCCCTATTTACATAGGGTTAAAATTTACATCCATAACACCCAATCCCTATATATTTACATATCTAACACCTACTTATTTACAATAGACAAACATTAAACTTTACCGGCTCAACGCTTTATTTACTTTTCTAATACTTCAGTTTTTCTTTCTCCCATAATGTATTTGTATTTTAAAAAAGGCTATACATTTTTGAGAAATTTAAGAAAAGTATATTTTTAAGCCCATTTTGTTTAAAGTAAATTAAATTTTTAGTTATAATTTATATTGAATTTTAAATCAATATTGGACGTTAGTAAAGCATCTTAATGAGCATATTCATAAGCTCATTAAGTAAAATCAGAGCTTTTTAAGCTTGTGCACAATAATATATTTTTTCCTTAAATTTTTAGAGTTTCTTCCCTCGTATTTTAGTCAAATCAAAAGCTTGATTGCGCTTAAGATTTATCTTTATGGATTTGCTGTTAAATTATTATTAGTTTAGATGAAATATATTATTCAAAGTGGATGTTAACGCGTCAAATTGAATTTTTACTGTTTAATATTACACACAATAGGAAGAATTTGAGATTTAATTTTAAATGAAATAATATCTAAATCAAATAATATCCACTTAGTTGAAATAGAAGGTTCTATTTTGAATTATTTACTATTCACTACATTTATTTTGATAAAATTAGTTTGTCACCCCCACCCCCACCCTATTAAAACATGAGACTGGTTTCTGCCCCTGCATGTCTCAATGATAACTATATAAGTATCCAACGCAATGCAGCAGGCAATGCATATCCTCAACCTTCAGACATGCTGATGCAGTATGGATAACCAAGAAAATGAAGTTAAGAAAGGGACAATCACAAATTTTGTGGAACTGGCTTCTCATTAGGACTACTTTTAGTTAGATTGCATCTCATGGACAGAAGATAGATTGAAAATAACATTTGTTCAAGACAGAAACAAAAATGTATCTAGGAAGAATATAAAGAGATTGAAACATAGGAAACAAAGATTTATTCAAAAAGAAGATGAAAAGATTGGAAAACAAAATGAGCAAGGAAAAAAGATTCTTTCAAATTATAAATAGGTAAACATAAATTCATTACACAAGCACCTATTAAAACGTTACAACAAAGCACACAAAGACAGTGATGTGGGCAGTATTAGATGGTTTAAGGAACCAGAAGCAGAATAGAGAAAACATTCAAGAAGCCAAAGTCAATTTTGAAGCATATTGAATTAGAGAAAATAATTCAGCAAAATGAAAGAAATGTTAAAGTAAAACCATAGAAAACCCATAAATGATAAATGAGCCTAAAAGACACTATCAACAGCTTGAGCATGAAAAATAATAATATTAATAGGCTATAAACTGTAAGGATATTCTTTTCTGCGACCTGTTTCACTTGCACGATCACGGAGGTGGCTAAGCCGTAACTTCTCAGTTTCAATTGACTGCATAATAAGTTAGAATACAGATCATAGGCATGCTCAGGCAAAACATATTGCCCTGCACGACATGAAACCTAGCATTGACCTTTAGAAGAAAGAACACATAATAAGAAACTTACGTCAATGACTCTCACTGCATGAAGAACCTTGGCCTTCTCCTGAATGTAGCCCTGAAGTATATAGAACAGATGGAAATTCTAAATAACATGAAAGAAAATACAATTATTTACAACATTGGCTCTGTCCAAAGAAAAGTAGTTAAGCTCTATAAGCACATCTTACCAGTTTTAGTCGATCAATAAGCCCGCATTTAATGCTTTGCCTCAATCGTTGGCACTCCTCCTAGAAATGGCACTTGTCAAAGAATATTTAAGAGGAATATATTGAAAGGGAACATATTATGTCAAATGCACGGCTACCTCGCATCAACATTAACCCATTATCAACAGTACCATAAGTATAGATGCCTAAAGTAAGCTATCACTAGAACAAAAGAAAATGAGAAACATTGTTGGATACACAACATTTAAAAAATTTCAACTCGCATCAAAAGTTTCTAGCAAAAATAGGATTCAACATCATCATTAGCCCTAGCATAGCTTTTTCAGGAATTATCCTTCACTAGACCTATTGAACACCATGAGGTTTTAATTCTATTTTGTCCAATCTCACCGCACAACTTCTGACCATGTTACTATTGATCTACCTTTTCATCCTTCCCATAGACCAATCCTATTCATTATTTGGTCCCAAAATATACCATCTAGATACCAAAGTGTAACAAGAAAAACAAAGTACACGATAAGTCTCAACAGAAAAAATGAAGTCACCAGTAAACTGTATTCATCAACACTGGATAGGAAAAGCCAAATAAAGGCCAGGGAAAATTGGTTTGATTTTTTTAGGACAATGCCCAGTAAATTCTGGCCCAGACGTGCTAAGGACCAAATCCTAATGAAAAATGAATGGTAAAACCAAGGAATGACGCCAACACGGACTTAGTTTTCACTAACAGGTAGCCATTGAAGGTAAGCTTTTCAAGGATAATTAAGCTTTTGTTATTCTCAGGATATGGGGACATAGCAAAGCAGTAAGAAGAACGTAATTAAATTAAAATTTACTGTTAAATGCCTCAATAAATTTTGTTAGCTAGGCCCCAAAATCATCAAAACATCTAGCCTCTACCTTCCTCTTCCACTACAATCTCATTAATCTATGAGATCCCTACAGCCTACTCAGCAAAACTGTAGACGGCTGTAATATCATTCCTTCATTTTGTATGTTTTTTTATTAAAAGTTGTCACACGATTATATAAATACTAACAAATGCCGTACTGAAAAACTGAACCAATTCTCTCAAATTTTTAACCTGGCATTGTAGACCTAAGATTTTTCTTTATTTAATTTCCTTCATAGCAGCATTCTTCGAAACATTATCACAATCTTGCCGTCATCATCGTTGCACTCTCTTTATTTTCTCTTGTTTTTTTTAAAACAACATTCTCACCATATTGACCAAAATATTTCTCCTTATTGTAGCCTTCATCGTCACATTGTCGCAATCTATTTCACTGTCACATCCTCCATAATTATATAGTTCTATTTCTTGTGTTCTATATTGTTTATGTGAGCAAAACCATAAAGTCACTCTCCATGCACAACCAAAACCAACACCCACATTACCCTTATAGTTTTGGAATTTTTAAAATTGAGGGATTTAACAATACAAGTTGAATGAAATGAACTACCAAAAGTGATCGAGCTGGTTTCACAAATTCTTCAAAGCAAAAAGCACATTGGGGATTTATAAGTAATAAACGAAAAAAAAAATGTTTATTAGTACCTGAAAAAATATCTATCATGTGTGATTCTCTAGTATTTTGAAGCATTACCATCTCTTCTCATGCCTTAAATAATCAAAGAAGCCCATTGCAAGCTCTTAAATAGTTGACTTTGGAGCTGTATACCATATGATCAATTCCACTAGTAAGTTTATTTCATAAATTGTTGTCCTTACAACGACAACATCAAAAAGACTTTATCCCACTAATTGGGATCGACTGCATGAACCCTTTTTCACCGTCGTGTCCTGTTGAGTGTCAATTTTTCATTTAATTCTAATAAATTAAGATCAATTTTTAAACAATATGCCCAACTCTTTTTAGGTTTACCTCTGCCTTTCTTAACCTAAGTCAAATCTAAAATATCTACTCTCCGAATCAAATCATCGGATGTTCGATGCTTAGTGTGAACAAATCATCTAAGATGACTCTCTCTAATTTTGTCCGCCACTAGAGCTACACCAACCCTATCACAAATATATTCATTTCGTAATTAGTCTCTAAGGTAAAGCCACTCATCCAGTAAAGCCACTCATCCACCTAGCATCCACCTAGGCATTCTCATCTCGACAACACTTAACTTAATTTTATGCTTCTCTTTTAAAGGCCAACGTTCTGCGTCATAGATCATTACGGGTATCACCACCATCTTATAAAATTGTCCTTTCAGTCTAAGCGATACTTTTCTATTACACAATAGGCCCAAAGCATTCCTCCATGTCAACCAACCAACTTGAATTCTACTAATAACATCCCCATCTATATCACCATCACTTTGAACAATAGATCTGAGATATCTAAAATGTTTACACCTTTTAATAATTTGATCACCTAAAGTTACAACTCTGTCATTAGAGCTACTAATACTAAAATTACATTCCATGTATTTAGCTTTAATTCTAATCAAACGAAAACCTTTACACTCCAAAACAGACCTCCATAATTCAAGTTTTTTTTCCTAAGCTCTTTCTCTAGCCTTATAAACAAGAAGGATATCATCAGTGAATAGCATACACCAAGGCATTAAGAGCATTCATAATTAAAGCAAAAATATATGGGCTTAAAGTCGATCCTGACGTAATCCAAATGAAATAAGAAAAAATTTGGTCAATCCTCCTTCTGTTCTAACAAAAGTAACACCTCTAATAAACATATCTTTAATGACTTGAATATAGTCATATCAACACCTTCCTTCTCTTCAACTCTCCCAAAGATATCTCTTGGAACCTTAATAAAAGTTATAAACTCGTCCTTGCAACAAAAAAAAAATATTTGGGTTGATGGATAGATATCATACAAACAAATCTCTCACACTTCTCTCATACGCTCCAAATACTTAATTATTTACCAAAATAATATCCTTCCAAAGGCTAACTAAGAAATCCAAGTACAAAGTTGGTTTTTTATTCAATATATTGTTCATCTTAAAAACAAGGTATGAGAAGAAAGACTGGGCTTGTTAGAAAAGGGAATGAGCTCTACAACATTAAGATATTCAATGACTAAGAAAACTCCATAAAACTTTTAGTATTATCACTCTCTCAAGATATTACAAAATTCAATAAAAAATATGACTTCACCCAAATGTTAGCCACTCTCATTCTTTGTTGTTCTCAAAATCATGTTTACTTTGTTATTAAAAGAAATATAAAAACCACAAATTTCATTGTGATATTCTTAAACTAACAAAACACAAATTTGTGAATTATTCAATGAGAGAAAAGAATCCCTTCTTTTTCATTAGTAGCGGCATACGGAAACTATCATCGGCATCTAACATCTTTGAGGCTCAGTAGTTTGTCCTTTAACAATCATTGCACTTGCATGTCATAAAACTTTTTACTAAACAAGCCAAAATGATGTAAGTACATCCTACCTACCATATTGATTCCTCTTCTGCGTAGCGCCATAATGAAAAAAAAATGGTTGCACAAAAGAATGATTTCTTACTTGCTACCACAAAAAATTCCCTTTTTTTAGAAAAATATCCAAAAGCAAATATGAGGGAAAAGCATTTTTAACCGATTACCTACAAAATTATTTATGGTTTAAAAGTCCTACACAATTCCAAGAAAATTATTTTCCCATTCTAATACCTCAGACAATATTGTTCCTAAAATAGTCAAATATGTTGCTCATAACCCAATAAAGCAAAAAAAAATAATCCTCAAGTCATTATGCTACATGGTGCAGATGCTAACAAATGCAAATGTCAAAAAATGTGCCTTCATTTAGCTCTTCTCCTACATGGTGCAAATGCTAACATTCTCCCACAAGAAAGGTGTATGTGTCTGTTGATATCCCGTTCAATGAAAAAAAAATCACAATTTTATAATATCCACCACAACGAAAAAATATCACACATTAATTAATTTTTTTTTTCATTTAAATTATCCTTCACTACCTTAATCTCGCAAACAACTATATTCAATAACCATCCACTCCTACCCACCTAAGCATGTAATCGAGGAATCACTTCTTACTCAACCATTACTAGTTTACTTAAGAATAAAAAATCATACTCTCATAAGTCCAAATAACTGAATAAATCCTTGTCATTAAATCTGCCAAGGGAACCATTGAGCCTGCAAATAAAGCTTCAAAAATTTTCACTAAATATTCTTTATCCTTATTTGTTTATCATACAAAATCATTCTCATAATCACCAATCCTTCCTTACTAACCTGCATAATAATTTTATCATAACATTATCTTTAAGGAATTAAATAATTCGAATTAGAAGAATGCTATGAGGATGAAATAGATGCCCTTTAAAAATAAAAGTTATAAATTGATAAAGAAAGCAAGAAGAGACTAGCGGGATATAGATGGGTCATCACTAAAAAATATAAATTTGATGGCTCACTAGTAACATATAAATTTAGACAGTTGAAGAAAGGCCAAACACAATTATATAAAATTGATTATCATGAAAACTTTATTTTGGTTGCTAAAATAAACATAGTTAAAGTTCTCTTATTTTTAATAGTTAACAATGACTAGAAAATACAACAATTCAAAGTGAAGAATACCTTCTGATAAGCTGATTGGAGATTGAGCAATGGGGAATAAAAGAAAAGAATACTTCGAGACATTAGAATAAAATAATTATGTAAGCTAAAATCTTCCTTATTATTAAGATGACATACTCTCAACATAAATCTTCATATTAAAACAAAAATAAAAAGCAAACCAATTGAAAGAAATGGGTCAAGTTAAGATGTCAATTTGTCAAGAACCCATACAATTAATCAAAATTTTGGAGATACTCCAAAAGATAATATTTAGAAAAAATCTCCTATCAAAAACTAGTCGAAAAACTTGTATACTTCTCACATATGAAACGTTAAATTACTTGCATTGTTGGCACGGCCAACAATTCATTTTCAATCCAAAAGAAATGCATCTTAGAGTAGTATATAAAACTCTAAAATATTTCAAGAAAACTCCGAGAAAAGAATTATAGTTAAAAAAAAGTGGATGATTTAACACTCGAAGTAT